ACTAAAACACAGACAAACATCATAAAACACAGACCAGCATACTAAAATACAGACCAAAAAATTAATGTATACTAAAACACAAAATTAACAACAAATAAATAAATAAATAATAATAATAATAAAGTAATAAATTAATGAGCTTACCATACTGCTCCTAGCACAGGCAAGAAGGAGTGACCTGTATGTGTCTATATCAGGTTTGTCTAGTTTAGTGACTTCATCAAAAACCTCATCAACCATCCCACAGTTAGCCATTGCTGTCAGCATTGCATTGAATGTTAATGTATTGAGTGACACTCCTTGTCTTTCTATTTCTTTCATCACTTTATCGAGTATTTCCGCTGATTTCGTTCGACCGCATACGGCAAACATGCTTGTATAGGTAATATCTGATGGCATTAGACCTCTCTTTTTTAACTAGGGGGGAGAGGGAGAGGGAGAAAGAGGAAGAATGAGAGGTGTATGTAATCATGGAGGACATAAATTATACCGTAGGGTGTCTTTTTTTAGGGGCTGTAAATTTTACGGACTTTGTGATTTTTTGAAGATTTGCAAAAATTTCTTCCACGAAAATCAAATTATTACGGTACAAGAGAGCAGACAGCATAAATTTGCTGAAATTAAATTCACAAAATATAAATTTTTAGACAAAATCGAGAAATTTATAGCCCTCTCCTATGGTACCGTAAAAGTAAAAATTTCCGACATATCAAATTTTTGTCTTTTTTGTAAGTTGCTAAAAAATTTAATTTTGTCCGCAATAATTTTCAATTACCACAAGTCGAATACAAATGGGTTAAAAATTAAATTTTCATCCTTGCATGAACTGGTAGAAAAGAACAAAAATTCTAGGGTCGAAATTCTTGTGTTGATGGTAAACATAAAATTATATTATTTATTCCCCCTAACCTATACATACAGTACATGTGTATGTGTTCTTACTTACATTATTAAATGTTTTAAAAGCTTTTCTAGCGTCACTGGTCAGTACATATCCTTTAATGAGTGCATTATATGCAAAGATATCAGGATAGACACGACGGTCTATCATACTCTGAAGGACTTCTTCAGCTTTCTCAATCTTTAAGAGAACAAAAAATAACTCTAAAATAACCAATATTTTTAAACAAATAAATTAATTTTGATTGCTTGTGTATATAACCTAAAATTCTATTGAAATTGAGGGCATTAGTATGTTCAGGCAATAAATGCAATATAGGAATTGGGAGTGAGCATGATTATGTGTATTTTACAAGAACATATGCATAATGAATTGATGATGTACACCTATAGCTAAAAAATTGTTGATATCATGCTTTACCTCTCCTTTTTTCACGAGTCCCAGTATGTTATAACTGTAACGAGTTCTTCTAACTTGCCATAATCTCTTCCCAGAAAGCATGATTAAAAGACGCGTTACTCGACGCGTTAAAAGATAAATGGAATGGACCTTATTCAATGAAATTTTTCTAATTAACGCACACCTGAGTTGGTGGTAAAATGGCGGATTTTTGTAGGAAAGACAGGCTGAACAATCTTCTCTTTTATCCAGCCACTCTAGCTTTGAGAACCACTTTGAGCTGTCCTTTTGTTTCAGTATACTCTATTTATCTCTTCTGTAAGCTCTTTGGTTGCTGTTTTGGCTTTTATAGCATTTTATCATAGGAATATTCTCACCCATGGGCAATTGCCGTTTTTCTAAATTTTGCTTTCAGGAGCCAAGGCGCTTGCCCCTCCATTGCTATGAAGACAGAAGTGTATTCAGCTG